TGCAGGATTTCGAATTTCTGAACAAGACTGGCAATCAGTGAAAGGTTCAGGAAAATCTCAAGAACCACCGAAGGAATTAAATTCAACGAAGGAAGGAAAGAATGTCAATGTGGAGGCAAGTTCAGACCCAGCAGTCGATCCTAAATCAGTCCATTCTGATCATAATGTGAAAAATCAACCTCATTCCGAGTCTTCAAGAGGTAAACGTAGCTGGTCTTCCGCAGCAGGCGTTCCAAGCACAAAGTACACTGCTGGCACAGTTACCAGAAGTCAAGTGACTGTCCGATCTGATGACGCTATGCAAAGTTTCGCTTCCGAGTCTGGTTACAGCGAAGATTATTTTAGACTAATGGCTCATATTTTTAATTGTATCTTTCGATAAGAGATAAATGCATTCAATGATCAATTTGTATTTTAAGTCAACATGTTCAGACCTTCCTGTAAAATTTATCTAACTACTACTGCAACCCAACCAATTTTGCCCAAGAGACATATTTTTAATAAAGGTAGAGGCTCACTTTTATATTACTGTTTATTATTACATCTTTATTGTAATTTTCTTTGTTAACTTTCTTATGATCATTGATACAGGTTATATGTCGCATTTGAAGTTGCAATGACAATAATATTGGCCTTGTGGGTGTTGACCAACAACACTCTGGATAAGATGAAAACAGTATTTTTCCGTAAAACATTGATATCTGCCTGGTCCTATTACGCAGAAGACCAACATTGTCATTATTACAGGTTGTTTCATAAAAATTTAATAACTCAATATAAGTAGCAGAAAGTGATAAAAATAAAATAATTTGTGTAGTAGTGCCATCTCTTAGCATATGTGTGACTTACATGTAACATAAAACCAGCCTCTAAGCATCAGGCACTTCTAATCATGGTACAGTCCACAGACCAGGAGAAAAGCCCCGCTAGTAATTTGATATGCGCGCATGCGATTAGAGGTGCACTCACTACACGCTACTCTTAACTGCTTGACGTTTTCAGTCTGTGTGTAGTAGCGTAAAACTCTGACATATCACACTTCCCACCAATAGCAGCCCTCTAGTCCACTTGATAGTAAACATCCCCCCTGCACCCGCTTCGGACTCACCGCTGTGAAAACCTCATATCTTACATAGATAATGTACTGAGCAGTGGTGTCCCGTAAAGATGTATACACTTTATGACATGGAATATTAACCTTGTTATTGATCGCCATGTGTTGTGTTTATGGAAGACATGATTGGTGGTCGTCTTGAACGCCTACACAAAATTCGCTGATTTACTAAGAGCCAGTGCTGACATATGTAATAGTTTAGTTTATTAAACTGTCATTTCATTAATTGAATATGTGTATACATCTTTTTTTTTTTTAATATTCTGTATTTGTTATGGTATCATCAGATGACCAGTGCCAATATAAAATGTCTACAGTCACAACATTTTAACTGCTCTTTAAATTTATTTTCTGTTCATTTCCATAATTGTTTTATCGCTGAATCAGAAAAATGATATGAAGTAGCAAATTCTTAGGTCATTCAGTTATGAAGCAGCAAAATGTGATAGAAAATCTTGCCCTCATCATGTAACAACTCAGTAATTTGGTTAAAATTGGACAAGATTGGAAAGGTATAGTCGGTACAGGAGTAAAACCTCACTGACTGGGATAAGAGGTAGTCTGAAACAATGAAAAGCATAAGTTGTAGAATGTATTTATATGAAAAGTCATACTTCATTTAGGGAAACAAATGTATTCATAATCCAGTATGTTAAATGGTATCAGGACATGCATACCATCATAGCTATGATGAAGAAAGACAGTTACGAAAACAAACAGAATTCTTTTATCATATACTTTGTTATTTCGATGTTTGTTCAAGCAAACAGAGTGTGTAAATAACACTAAATTCTCATTTAGGAATTATCTCCATTCTGTGTAAATAAAATATTAAAAATTAAGGTAGTCCAAATTATAGAGGCTCGGAATTAGTGAGGTTTTACTGCACACTCAAATTCCAACATTGCAGTAATACAGTTCTTTAACATTATCTATAGACTTTAATATCATGGCCCATGACATGGGGGGGCACCGACATCACGCAGGCGCATATGATAATGCGTAGTGGTATCATAATCATCCCACCTTGAGTCACATTGGTGTTGCCAAATTATGTGAAATGTAAAAGTACTATTTCGGATTAGCCTCAAACAGCATTCCTTACTCTGTAGTTCGTACAGCCACTGAAGACACAAAAATAGAAAGGCAGGCAAGGACTAAACCATGTTTTCTCTTAAGAACACGGACGCGTTTCTGCAAGCATCTCGAGCACATCCTGATAACTTTCAACTAAAATAGTTTTGAGGAAAACACGTGTTATACTAATACACTTTTCCTATTCTTATTACTGTTTTCAACGTAATCAAACAAATTGATTTTTATGTTATCACTCTAGAACCATTGGACCAAAATTTTACATGGGATGTCAATTCCATGTGTTTGTATGACCACTGATGTTCGCATTTGTTAACTAAAGGGATAAAAGAGCGTACGTACAATTCCCAAAGAGAGTCTGAAACGGTTGTCCAGATGTGACTATTCTTCCACTGGATCTCCACACTTCTGTCTGGCAACTAATTGGTGGTAATTTTAATTGCGTTCAATGTCAAGACTTCTGTCTTCGCCGTAAATTGTCCGAAGTGACCACATGCTGGTAGAGACGATAATGATGGTAATGATAACGCATTTTTAACACACATGTTTTGCCTTTATTACGCATCACCAATACGGAAATAATTTTGAATATGTCCAAATTTTTGTTCGATAGGGTTTCGGCATGAAAAATGTATCAACTAGAATCCTTCCAAACACATTCTCTGAACACTAGGGCTGTTTGCTTGGAAAAATTCGAAAGACGTTATTAACAAGCTGTCGACCCCTATAGGCTGACAACCTATACACAGTCCTTGAGAGCGAGTTTGTATATCGATCTGTGCTGCCATCTTGTATACACTTTTTATAAGTAAGAAAGTAGAATGGACAGAACGTACACATACAAGGCAGTGGCACATGGATTCCGAAATTAAATTAACCAATAAGGAAACAGATCTTGCATATTGCGCATTGCTTAGCCAATCACGTGCTATTCAAGTAAGCTCATGGATTGTTTCAAGATGGCGGGTGAGTGCATGTACCACACAGAAATGATTTTGTAATTTTGTGTTTTAATTTTAGTTACTTACTAGATTTGTGCATTTCAGATATATTGTATCTACAAGATGAAGATGGAGAGAATTCAGATGAAGGTGAGTCAATGATTTTCGTGACATATGTTACTGTGTATATATGACAAGTTCAATTGAAACGCCAGACAATGTTTGCATGGCGTGGTTGGTCGAATCCAATTTTCGGATTACAGGGGAGTGCGTTAACGAGGTGTTTCAGAGCTGCGTTGAATTTTGAAGTTATTAATGGCTCATCTTGTGAGCGTTGGTCTTGTGAACATGCAACTTTAAATTTGTGTGGCTAAAGGTTCCACGAGTTATACTTAACGATTTCAATTGTTTTATTACTTAATAATTAACATTCGTTTTACTGAATCGTCTTAACCTTTCGTCATACACATCAAGACGTTGACATCATGCGGTTACTTATTTTAGTCTAACCTTACGGTACAGTTATATTTTGTGGAAATCAGGATCTGATATTTAAAAACGTATTTGATTTGAAATTTTTTTTTTACGGATAAAAGCAGTTCGTGGTCTATGGAATGAAACTCGCCATACATTATACCCGGCCTGAGGTGCATATCATGTTCTTGTGATTTTGAGTGTGAAAACAAATGTTTTTGAAGTGTGATTGATGTCATTAAAATACTTAATAACTTTGATTTGAAGAACTGAACTCTTCATTGATGTGACTGATTGGGAATAGTGGCATTTTTCAAAGGGATGTGCAACAGGAAATATTAGCTTTTCACTATTCTGCATTTTGCAAGTAATATAATGTACTTGTAGCTTGTCTTGGGGTTAGTTAGAGGTTTCATTTATTAAAAGTTGATATTCAGTTTAGCATCCTGATGGCTTGTTCAAACAGGCTGTAATGGTATTTACCAAACTATTGTATGCTTGATCCAACTAAACCTTTGATGTTAAAGAACATAGTATATTACATTTTGTATGGTGCATGAAAGAGGGAATGCAAATGGAGACTTTTCTGGAATTAAGGAGAGAAATATTTCGTATTTATGTATGCATGCAATTGAAAATTGTATATTTCGTATTTATGTATGCATGCAATGAAAAATTGTAAAAAAAATGTGCCTATTTTGCTCTGTGAGTAGCAACTGGTTAACAGCTGAATGGATTTTCATAAAATTTTATATTGAGATGTTGAACTAAAAGGTATCAGCAAATTTTCATTTTTGATGGAACCTGACCACAGTAATGACTACTGCACATCAATACATATATTAATTTTTTGCATTTGGATGTTACTAGGAGATCACTAGCCAGATATGCCACCCACACAAAGGTTATTTACTCCACGTGGCTGTGAAGGTGAAACGCAGCCAGACATGCCAGAATTGTTATTCACATATTTAGAGAATTGTTATTGTAGCAGAGTTTCTGTACATTTCTAGTAGTAGTGGATTTTCATGTCAGGTGTAGTGTATACTCCGTTCTATGTCGGGACCTGCATCACGCCTTCCACAGGCACGGACGTGGGCTCTTCGTAAAACAGGCTTTATATGATTCCACTGTGGATACTGAACTGAATGTTAGCAAGCTTTCTCCTAATCATTTAGTTTTTTTGTAAATGCGGTTTTGGTTTAGTTATTTTCATTCCAAAATATTTTAACATTACCTCATTTTCCATGTAATCGGCCATGTGTACTTGGTTTTCTCTGTATACCAGCCGCCTCACTAGTGTCTGATGGTTTCTTTCTGGTATCGACAACGTCGGCGCTGACCAGAAGCTGATTTGTTCCATTTACTTCCAGTCCTGATGTTATTTTCTTAGATCATCCTAATGGCGTGTTCTGAAGTGAGGTTGGGACCACTGATGTTCGAAGTGCCTGCTAGCCCATAACGTTATACTCTCACATCTGTACATAGGTTTTGTTTGATCATGTTTTGATTACCGTAATTAGTTTTTTGGGTTTCTCATAGTGAATGAAAATTTTGTATATGCCTCTGTCCTATGTCAGGATTTTCTTTTTGATTCTATAGCAAATGTGCCAATTATTGTGGAATATTTGATTAGTAGTTGATCTGTTTTGTCACAATCCACGCGGATGATCCCAGAAAGTTTAATATATAAGTGAAATCAGCCTTGAAAAAAATTTGGATAAAACTTTGTATAATTAATTACTACAGTCGGTTTCATCACTCCGTTGTTTTTTTATATTAGTAGCTGGCTCGTTTTCTTATCTTTAGTTCGTAACCTCTGAACATCATCAGCCCAGCAAAGTGTGATCTATTAGAGGCGAACGTCTCTGTCATCGTAATTGCCATAGTTGGAAAGCTAATTTCTCGTAAACTTGAATGTAGTTGTCATAGTTTCTTCATATAGTGCTCGCTATTCACGTAACATCAAAAGTGGTAAAGTGTTTGAACTTTGTGA